ATTTTTTAAAAAATGAGGGGTTTAAACATTGCCTTGGATGGAAGGCTGAGTCAACCTTGAGCCTCGTGAGATTCGAACTGCCAAATTGCAGACAGCTGGCAGTCAGCAGAAGTAGCCTGCAGTACTGCACTCTAACCACTGTGCCACCTTGTAATAATATTTAGATGTGCTTGGTAAGTAACTACATAAACATCATTAACTTTTTAACATTTTGTTTCTTGCATTTGAGTAATCTCTCCCAAGAATGAACAAAACAGTGGACCAACAAGACAGAGATACACATATTTTCCTTCAGGATCTGCATAATATTCAGGCTGTCTATCTGTCATTCTCCTCTGTCCATCATACAAAGAGTGTTTTTCCAGTAGTAATTTACACTCTACTCTGGAACAAGTATGAGACATTGCACAACATAGATAGGTCTTGGATTTTATTTTCAAGGACCAAGCATCAGAGGTGGGTTCCTACCGGTTCGTACCAGTTCGGTAGAAACGGTTCATCAAATCTAGCGAACCGGTTAGAAGAGGTTCCACCAGTGGACCCGGAAAGCAGGCCACACCTACAGAAGAGGTTCCAAATTTTTTTGAAACCCACCACTGCCTTGAACCCTTTCCCACTTGCCCCACAAATAGCATGCCATCTTATTGAGATCTTCCAAGTAATAGAAGGAAATAGAAGCACGAGGATTAATTTTTTTAAAAAAATTACCCTCCAATTTGATAAATCAGAACTGAACATAAGGGAGCAAGTACAATGGCAGAGACATTTGGATTCCTCTTATTACATCTGGCAAAAGGGGTGTTACCGAATTAAGATATTGTTGTCACTTTCTATTTGCCTCAGTTATCCAGCATTGGACAATGTGACTGGGCTTCTCGGGAAAACAAGCCTACAGTTTTCACGTAAGAAAAGGATCCAAGGCATTCTTATCACATGACTTGTAAAACTCCTGGCGAGTGAAATATGTTTTCGACATCAAACTCCAGTTCCAATAAATTTCATTGCAACTGTAGCCGTTCTGTTTACCAGAAGACATGATTCCTATTTGTTTTTATCGTGGCTTAAACCTACCAATTTATGGTACCCTTTCTGATATTGCCAGAACTTCAGTTACTCAATTCTCTTCCACCACTCTTGAAATGTAAACTATTAATCACATTTTGGGGTTGAATTTTACCACGAAATTCTAAGCACAATAAAGCCACCCCCATCGAGAAGTAAATAGCTCTAGCCATTTAAAGTCCCTCAGTTTTATAAGATGTTTTGCGCGACTATATTTGGCTAGCTCCATAGATATCTATAAATTATCCAAGCCGTATACCCATCCTTCAGAACGTAGGCTGCAGGAGAAATTTGTCCCCTTGTTAAGAAATCAAATGCTGTATTGCTAGAAACCACACAAACATCTTACCACTATAAATAGAATACATGCTGTTGTGACAAGTTTTCCTTTGATCACTTTTATTTCTCCTTTTTGGCAAACGAATGTCAGTGTTATTTATAAAAGGGTGGAAAGGCTGGTGTAAAGTTTTAAAGTATGGAACTTTCCTGCAAGGAACTGAATGAAATTATAAGGAGAAAAACAGATCCAAAGAAGGTCCTCTTGTTTGGCATAAATATTATTTTATTAAGAGTTCCTTCAGGAGCAATCTTTTTTCTTTGCTAAAAAGGGACGTTTTGCATCACCGAATCTTACAGGTTTTTTAAAAACACATTTCCCAGAGTCTTGTACATTCAACTGGATTTCACTTGTAAAAATCTCCGGTTGCATTTGTGCTATAGATACCAAGCATTTCAGAAATGTTGAAATGACTTTTCCATCAAGCAACTCAGAGAGGTCTTTGACCAGCTCTGTTACACAATGTATTTTTGCTTTTATTATTATGCAGAACAACGTTTGCGATTTTATATGGTTGCATAAACAATCACGAAACATGAACTGGCCCAGAGGCTCACAGAACTTTATTTTCAGTTATCTTTTTGGCTTCTGAAGTGGCAGCCTGCGTCGGCAGGGCTGACTATACATTCTCTGCACTCTTCGGTTTCTCTAACCCATGACTTACCAAAAGAAAGTGGAGACACTGAGACATTTGCGTGTTTTTAAGCCCGTGGGAAAACGAAGTCTGACCTCAAAGGAGTCCTCTCTATTCTTTCTCTTTTATTCCAGACTTCTGAATGGAGGCAGATTACTTGCAACTCTGAAGCCTGGTTCGATAATAGTTGTCGTCTGACAGGAGGTGAATGAAGGGGTCACTGTGGGAGAATTTCTGGTGTCTGCTCCATCGGGAATGTTCGTTTCCATTCCCCAGAAGGTGTGCTGGCTTATCGTGGGAAACGCTGCCTTTTTGGTCCCCCGCATTCAGCTCCATCAGTTCTAACTCATGCTTGGCAGCTGTCTCTAGCACTCTCTGCTTGTTGTAGTATCTCACAAAGTTGTTAATGATGGGGTGGATGGGCAAGGCAATGGCAATGACCCCGCAAAGGAAACTGATAGCGGCATTGAGTTTCCCCAGCACTGTCTTTGGGTAGATGTCTCCGTAACCCACCGTGGTCATGGTGATGATTGCCCACCAGAAGGACTGAGGGATGCTCTTAAACAGTGTTTCAGGGTGGCTTTGCTCCACTGTGTAACCCAGGGCAGAAAACACAAAGATCCCAACCGCTAGATACATCAGGAGGAGCCCCAATTCCTTAAAGCTCCTCTTAAGCGCATAGGTCAAGGTCTGTAGTCCTGAGGAGTGGCGTGCCAGTTTGAAAATCCTGGCCACCCTCATGATCCGGAGCGCTTGGACAGCTTGCTGTACATTGGTTAGCTCCATCAATTTGGTGCCCAAATGGGTCAGGATGAGGCTGATGTAGAAAGGGAGGATGGCAAAGATGTCGATGATGTTCATGAACGAAAAAGCGAAGTGCAGCTTATTAGGAGACGAGATGAGCCTGAGGACATACTCAAGAGTGAACCAGACAATACAAGCGGTTTCAATCTTATCCAGAACTGGGTGCTCGACGGATTTACCTTCAGAGTCCAGAACCTGCAGTTCCGGGATGGTTCCCACACACATCACCACAGATGAGGTCAAGATGAGGAGGAAAGATGTGACGGCGACAACACGAGCCGGGTAGGATGACTCCGGTTTCTCCAGGAACTTCCAGATACACTTCTTGCACTTTGCCCAGCTGTTTTCGGAGGAGTCCATCCCCAAGTCATCCAAGATCAACTGGACCCGACGGGCAATCTCTTCGAGTTCTTCCTTTTTCTCGCTCAGGTGCGCCTTGCAGCAGTCGTCCAGGAATTTCAGGTCCACTTTCCAAAACTCCATTTCGTTTTTGAAACAAATGGGGCAGATGCCTTTCTTCATGTGAACCTCCCCAAAGTCATAAACCTCGATGATGCATTTAAAAGCATCTGGATCTCGGTCGAAGTAAAACTCTCTGGCCCCAGGATCGTAGTCGTCACACAGCGAGAAAATCGTGTCGTAACCTCCCGATAAACAGTTCACCAGCTCTGCTAGCCTCGTGTCGGGGTACTGGTTCAGATGGTTCCCATACAGCACCTGCCTTACTCCTCCAACATTAACAATAATCTCCATCTCTTCACTGTTTTCTGACTTGTGGCTGTCCGGCTCCTGTAGACTAACATCCTCAGTCATTCTTTTAAAAAGAATTCTTGCAGCTGTGTTCCCAACAGCTTCTTCTTCCCTTGGACAAACCTTGAGTGATTTTGCAAAGAGCCAACGCTGGCTGTGTCTCAGCCACTCTGAACTCCAACGACTTTCAGCAGGGCTAGGATAGGGGAGACCCAAATCTATCTGCAGGTGGCGAGGAAGCCTTGTGGAAGTGGGCGAACGAGCTTCGTTTAAAGGGGGCAGATCATCTGGCTGCTTCTGAGTCAGAGAGCAACCTTCTTTTGAATTGTCCTGACGGATTTCAAGGCAGAGAAAGGAATGCTTTTAAGGAAAACTCACCCAGCGCTGGGAAATTGCTCCGTCTTTTTTTTTTTCCAAAGTGGCATGGATTCCTCATCAGAAGCAGCTCATCCCTAGAGAAAACGCTGTATTCCTCAAGCACAAAGAGAGAGAGAGAGAGAGAGGGAGGGAGGGAGGGAGGGAGAGAGAGAGGGAGGGAGGGAGAGGGAGAGATGGAGAGAGGGGGAGAGAGGGGGAGAGAGAGAGAGAGAGAGAGAGAGAGAGAGAGAGAGAGAGAGAGAGGGAGGGAGGGAGGGAGGGAGAGAGAGAGGGAGGGA